CGTCATCACTTCGGCATTCGCTCGGCCGGCTCGGTGAATTTGGAATTTGGAGGGAGACGATTGTGTTTTACGAGTCGCTTCGGGTGTCGCATTAATTAATGAAAATTAGATATCGACAAACGCGAATTACGTAAGGTAAAACTAAGGAGTGTATACTAAGGTTTTTGCTTTATTTCTTAGATTCATTAATCGGCGCGTCACGTTTACGCGTAGAGTTACCGTGCAGTCATTCCCTTACCGAGATTCGTACAAGCAAGGTTGGTGTATCGCGAGCGGCTCTTTCATATTACTTTTTCAAATCTTATCGTGAAGAATGCCAAATATAATACGAAACGTTGCACTTAATGAATAATTAATAACATATACACAGCTCATGAATATTTTAGATGTTTCATGTGTTCTCACATGTACGGTATAAAAATGTGATTTTTATTGTTAGATATTTTAAATTGTGGCTTTTTACCACTTTGAATCGTATAATTCTGTCATTTTCGTGTTACTCCGCATTCTTAATACGGGAAAAGTGTAACGAATAAATTATATTTAAATTATATATCTCTAAATGTATGTGCATGCTATTTATACGTATTTTTCTATTTAGTCGAAATTGTTTCATAATTTAAAATAAAGTTTTGCATTTATCTTTATTTAAAGGATGTATCACATATTGTTAATCTTTATTTAACTGTAAATCACAAAAAAGAGCAATAAAAATTGAGATATGATGTTGAGATGTCAAAAGCACTTCATGCGAGCAATTATGTAAGAAAAACCACGCTAGTAAAAATCTCTTTTTACAAAACAATTCTTTGTCTGAAAGGCATATACCACAAACACCAGATAGCAGTGGCGATTATTTCAAATCCTTAATTATTAAACACATGGAATCAAAAATAAACGTTTCGGTCCCAATCGGACCATCTTCAGTATTAACAGTACTATTATAATTAATTAGAATGATCTTATCATACGCAACATAATTATACAATTTAGTTAAGCCGTCAATCTTACTTAAAAATAACTTCTAGTCATATAATTTTAGCATCTGTCATTACATAAAAAAATTTGTTTTTCTCTCTTTTCTCCTAAAAACGGAAGTCATGAATTTTTTTCATCACTTATGCTTCACATTTTGCTAATCTAAATTTGATAGAATTTGGTAACTCTGTATGATGCAGCAAGGATTTTTTGAAGTGACAAAGGAGATTAGCAAAATGTGAAGCATAAATGATGGAAAAAATTCATGACTTCCGTTTTTAGGAAAAAAGAGAGAAAAACAAATTTTTTTATGTAATGACAGATGCTAAAATTATATGACTAGATTTTTAACTAAATTGTATAATTATGTTGCGTATGATAAGATCATTCTAATTAATTATAATAGTACTGTTATAATACTGAAGATGGTCCGATTGGGACCGAAACGTTTATTTTTGATTCCATGTGTTTAATAATTAAGGATTTGAAATAATCGCCACTGCTATCTGGTATTCGTGGTATATGCCTTTCAGACAAAGAATTGTTTTGTTTTTATCGAACCACGGTGTATTTATAAATTTAAAATCTCTTTTTACTTTTTGCCTTTTGTCGCAGCACACGCTGTAATTGATACGAAATATTTAAAGTTATAAAATAAACATCAAATTGTTTCTCGGTGTAACACAATATAATTATGACATTAAACGACTCGCGCCGCTAAAATTAGATACATATAAGAAATTGTTTCATTAATCGGAGAATATTCAAAATGTAAAGAATATATTATTTTACTTCGTAATATGCGTTCGTAATATAATATTTCGACGATTGAACGGTTGGCGCGCGGCCTTGGGGTGGGGATGGCACGGGGTGGCGCGTCACGTTTACGCGTAGAGTTACCGCGCAGTCATTCCCTTACCGAGATTCGTACAAGCAAGGTTGCCGTGTCGCGTGCGGCTTTTTTTCACATTACTTTTTCAAATCTTATCGTGAAGAATGCCAAATATAATACGAAACGTTGTACTTGATGAATAATTAATCATACTAGTAATCGTGTTATGTGAATATTCATAAAATACAACATTTCGTATTATATCTAGCATTTTTTGCAATTATTATATATTTTAAAAAGAAATTAATGTGAAAAAGAGCGGCACGCGACACGGCTACTTGTCTGTACACTGAGAGAAAGGATTTTGTTAATTTAGCAAGCCACCAGTACCTTTAACCGGTGATCGGTAAATATATGACAACGAATTATGTTGTTGTGATTGCTGCTAGTCTGCTATACCAACCAATTATTAGTAACAGAAACAAACTATATAAAATCTAATCTATCTTTTGGATAGACTTTAGCTCGTTTACATAGAATTCGTAGATGATCGTGGAGTCTTAAGTCGTATAGGAAACCGATCAAGCACAGTCAAATATAGGGAGAATACTTGACTAGAATTAGTCAACTTTTCACGATTTGAGACCCTGCAACCATCTACGACTTATATATATATATATATATATGAGCCTCTTATTTGCTAGCGATACTATTGATTATTTGTTACATTGACGAATTAATTTGCAATTGACGTGGTGGGAGGGCTTAGTACCCGAAAGGTACTAAAAAAATGGTTTTCCTTAAATATCTAAAAATTTTCGGATTTATCTGAATGATGTTTCTAGATAAATTTTTAGATACTTGAGTCGTTCTCTTCGTGTCTAACGTTGGGGAAGCTAACATACCCTCGTCGTCGATTTACTTGAAAATGAGCGAACCGCAGCTGGTTCGTCGCGTCGCGCGTTTGCTTAGGGAGTGCCGTTCAAGTTATTGGACTAATAGACATTTCATAAAATCCATATATTTGTTTTTAATTATAATTAGTTATAATTAGTCCGCGCGCGATTATAGTGTATTATTCGCGAGTGTTTTACGCGAGTGTCCTGTGCGAGAGGATGTCAACCCAATTCTGAGAGGAGGAGGAGGTCTAGCAGAGGCATCAGGCACCGGCGGAGCAACCTTGCGGTAAATATTTTTTTGCTTATGTTTGAATTTATTCTTGAGTCGTTTTATTTTAATGATTTAAAAATG